TCTCTTGAAATTCTTTTGTCAAAGAGTTTGTTTTGATTTATTGCTTTGAATTCATTATATTTCACTTATATGATGATATTTATGTGTTTGTGCTAATGGATCATCTATTCGTGCTTTATAATGTATTCTATGAGTGGTTTGATCTTCTTTTGATTTCATAAATCTAATTTTATACATTGGCTTTTATGATATGAGACAATAATATTCGTCTTGATATATTTATATATGTTCTCATTATCTCTTGAATGTGAGTGATTTTTGGCATATTATTTATGCTTGCTCACATGTTTGCCATGTGATATTCATTTCATATATTCCATGTCTTCTTTTGATTTCATAAATCTAATTTTATACATTGGCTTTTATGATATGAGACAATAATATTCGTCTTGATATATTTATATATGTTCTCATTATCTCTTGAATGTGAGTGATTTTTGGCATATTATTTATGCTTGCTCACATGTTTGCCATGATCTTTTATTGCTTATATTTCATATGTGTTTATCATCAAAAAGGGGGAGATTGTTGGCCTTCTTATTTTGATGATGTTTAACAAACAATTTACCACTAATGTTGTTTGTCTAGTATTTGTATTTTCTTATTTATTATAGACAAACAACGTAGTTGGAGGATGGATGGAATAGAGCTTCAACGATCATATCCAAAGGAGGTTGGTGGAATGTCGGTGAAGCAATATACAATTCAAGTTAAAGATCAAGTTCAAATATAGACAAACAACATTGTTGGAGGTTGGATGGATTGCGCTTCAACGATGATATCCAAAGGAGGTTGGCGGAATGTCGGTGAAGCAATATACAATTCAAGTTAAAGATCAAGTTCAAAGATGAAGTTCAAGCTTCATCCGCAACGTGTACCAAGTTGAGCCACAATGAAGATCAAGATCATTGTTTGGGTAACTTTAGTTTAGATTTTATATTATGTGTGTTAAGTACCTTAAGCTCAATATCATATACACACACGTATTTGGTTTCTATGTATATATATAGTTATATATATACATGCATGGTTTTGAGTTTTCATGCTTTGACACACTTGCAAAATACATGAGTTTTCACAAATGGAAATTCAATTTGAGAAATTCTTTTTCTAACATGTTTGTTTTCATGTTTACAAACATTTCGCAAAGTTTCATCAAGTTTAGAATTGATTTGTTATGTTTAATGGAATTTACAAAATCATATTTTTCGTTCGTGCATGTTCGTGCATGTTTTACAAAACAGATGAGTTTTCACAAATGGGAAGTGATATTTGAAAAATTCTTTCTCTGACATGTTTATATACATGTTTATAAACTTCCCTCAAAATTTTACTATATACATATATGTTTTTGGTTTAATAATTTTCGAGTTTATATATGAAACAAATGAATAGAATTGGAAAATACTATTTTGTTTCATGTTTATATGCCTATATATGATTTCATCTTTAATAAGCTTATATTTAATGAAATCATATTTAGTGTTTTGAATATATTGCATAGAATATGCAATTTTATAAAAATATTGTATTTCTAGGTTATAGACTTCATAACAACATGTTATATCGTTTATCAAGTCTATACAATCATTTCATAAGGTTTCAAAATGTTGTTTAAGTCAAAATATCAAAATATCAATTTTCAGGTTTTCATGTTTTTGAACTATTTTGCAAAATGATGATTTTTTACAAATGGGAAATGCAATTTGGAAAATTCTTTTTGTAACATGTTTGTTTTCATGTTTATATACACTTCCCAAAGTTTCATAATTTTTGGACTTCATTTGTTATTTTTAACAATTTTCCAAAAGTCAAAAATTCCTTTTAAAATCAGGTTTTGAGTATGTCAGTTTTCGGTCGACCGAACCGGTCGACCGAACCGGTCGACCGAACCTGAGTTCATATGCTTACTGGGCGACAGAGAGTCTGTCGGTCGACCGGTCCGGTCGACCAAAAGCTCCAGCGGTCGACCGGACTTTTCCGTCGGTCGACCGAATGCTCTCATCGGTCGACCGACGAAATTTCCGGTCGACCGACAATAGATCCGTTAGACACTAACGGCTATTTTTCTGAGCTGTCTTCTGGGGGCTGTTTTGTCATTTCGTTTGGGGTTTTTGTTGAGATCTTGAGTGGGTATAAATACCCCATTGCTGATCTCTTTTTCTTGACTAATGAAAAGAAGTTTTTAAACAAGTTTTAAACAAGGGTTTAAAGTGTGTTTAAGGGTTTGTTTTTGTTTTGTGAAGAATTTTTCACAAGTGGAGGAGATCATCTTCTTGTTTGGGCTTCAATCTCCATCTCTCCATCTTGTTATTCAGAGAAGAATCTCTAAACTCATTTCTAGCTATTTATTATTTTGTTTATAATTTCTATATGCTAGATTTTAATTGAGTTTAGTTTTGATTTTGATTTCACTCATTGTTTACACACACCCACTTGAGCTTATTGTATTTGCATTCATAATATATTAGGGTTGTGAGAGTTGTAACATTGAGTGTGGGCTTTTATTGTGTTCTCATCCATATTAGAGAACAATTTATATTTGTTACATTGTGAGATTGTTAGGTTTTCGGTGAGCTAGAAACCGAGTGTGTTGTGAAGTTTTCGGTGAACTAGAAAAGTTTTTGGTTAGCTAGAAAACCGAGTGTGATGTGTAAACGTTATTCGGGTGAACGTAGAAAACCCGGTTGTGATAGTGGATTTCTCCCCGGGAGTGGGGAGCGGAGACGTAGGACGGAAGGTCCGAACTCCGTGATCATATAGTGTGTCTGAGTGTGCTTTGGCGTTCATTTATATTTTTGTTCATATCTTTTATCGCCATTGTCCATAGCTCATTATTTATATGATCCACTATTTAGTTCATATTGTTCTAGGATAACTTGTTAATTAATTTTTAATTGGCATTTAATCGGATTAGATTAGCATAAGACCCTAATCAACCCCCCTCTAGGGTCTCACAGATCTCTTTAATAAAACGTTGATGATCTTTTTATAAACTGAAAAAGCTCAATATTTCACATCATATACTATAAAGATTTATTCTTTGTACTAAAAATACGTTTTAGGCTCAATAAAAACTCATTAAAACTCAATAAATTCGTGTAAAACAAAAGGGACAAAGTTGGGCGAGATGTTACTCGCCTCTGGGGTGTTGCAACACTCTTGGATCTGCGAGAGGATGATTCCCCTTTGCTGCAACGTTCGAAACCCGCTGAAAATCCTTTAAAACGCCCCAAAATCACCAAGAACGAATGTAGGGTTTGAGAGAGGAGAGAGGGGGCTAGGGTTTCTCAGATCTGATGGTGAGAGGGGGTGTTTTCGGGTAGGGGAGATCATATATGAACAGCCAAACCCGACCCAAAACTCGAACCAATCAACACAGACCCGGAACTTGGAAAAACAGGAAAACAGCTCGTCGGTCGACTGATCTCGTCAGTCGACTGATCGGTCGACTGATCCGGCAGTTTTCCTGTTTCGTGCATGTTTTGCTCATTTGCAAAACCAACGCACAAAACTCTATATGCATACACTCATATCATCTCAAATAACTTGTTATCATGTACATCTATGACCTCAAGCTATTTATCACAATAATTCACATATATTCATAACCAAAAAATACGGGGTTTTACACTTCAGCTTCACAATTTTCTAGTGGAAATATAAGACCATTCAACACTCATAATAATCTTCATAATCCATAACCTAATCTTTCATACCAAAATTAGCCTCCTCATAATCAATATGTAAATTCTATTCCACCAAGTTCTGACCATGAAAAACGACTCATGTATTAGAGAAAGGTCTAGAAGTCGTGACAAAAAAGCATCTACATAGACCACCAACAAATTAACTCAATCATCCAACATTCTGAAAATTTTCATGCAAACAACAGGCCAATTGCTAAAGTCTAACTATAAAGTCATAGCTAGATTAGAAACTCATCTAGGACAACTAGCTAGCGCAGAGAGAGAGAGAGAGAGAGAGAGAGAGAGAGAGAGAGAGAGAGAGAGAGAGAGAGAGAGAGAGAGAGAGAGAGAGAGAGAAAAAAATGGAGAGAGATTTTCGAGTCAACCAATTGCAAATCCTAAAGACATTGGATTGAGTTCATCCCATCCAGCCCAAGTAAATGCAATTCACATATTAAGATCAGAAAACAGATTGATAACCAAGTTAGAATATCTACTGAGCAAGCTTCTCCTTCTTCTATCCAAACTGCCGAACCTGAACAAATACCCCCTCCTGATAATTTTTGCAACCATCTTCTTCTTATGATAACCATGAGCAATAAATCGAATCTGAGAAGCTAGATATGTGTAAATCCAATTAACTAGAGGTTGTCAGCGCAAAAACGACCGTTTTTGCTAATTATTTAGCAAAAAATGGTCTGTTTTAAAAATAAACTCCTTTTATCAATCCAATTAACCAGAGATTGTCAGCCCAATAAATTTATTGCAAAGTCACCTCACCTCCCGTCACCTCATTTTAACAAACAGTAACCTGGTTCAAACTTCACAAAAACCCAGGATGCAAACCTCAACTGAGGTTAGGATGCATTATCTTAAAAAGTCAACTCAACCTTGACGAGAAAACAATTCCCTTCTCTTTTGCTCTTCCACGTTATTATAAATTTCCAATGAAGGCTAGTTTTTAATTTAATCTTCATGTGTGCCTTGCACTATAAATAACAAATGCCCATAATATACTTTGTGCTATAGATTGTGTTGTTATTAGGGGTGCCAAACGATTTGGATATATCCGAACCGATCCGCATCCGAACAGATGCGGATATAGTAAGTTAATTTTAAAACCGGGCGGATACGATTTCGGATACAGATCTGATTTTAGTTTTTTTTTCGGATACAGATTCGGATACGAATATAAGAATTGCGGATACGGATATCCGCAATGTAATAATAATTCGGATCACAAAGTTACAATTACAAACCCGTAACCGCTAACCCAAAACCCAACAACTAAAAACCCTAGCGCCTTGTGATATCACATCCCATTCCGCCGCCTCCAGCCCTCCACTCAATTTCCAGCCTCCCTCCACTCAAATTCGTCAGATCCCGACGGTCCCGAGACTCCGGAGTCCCGACCAAAGACTCCCGACCCGTCGCCGGTGTCATATTCGGACTAGTGAGCAGTGAGTGGTAAAGGTGAAGAGCATAACTTATTTTTATTAATCGGTCAGTTATTTGCTCAGCCCTTCTCATCCTCACGATCGGGGTATGGCGATTCGGTAATTATGCACTCCTATCTTTTTTTTCCTTGCGAGGAGAGGATTCGGGCTCTCTACAAAATCGAATGGGGAGGGAGGACAAGAGGAAGGGGAGTAATTTCTTCTTTGTCCTCTCTACATTTGGAAACGAAAGAAGGGCATCGCCGCTTCAACCCGCGAGGTATAAATTCAATCAATTTTCTTTTGACCTTTTTGATCCCCTTTTGAATGATCTGCCGATCTCATGGTTTCTTTCATTGGATAGAAATAGATCTATGGGTTTTAGGTTTTATTTCTGATTCTGATCCACGCCGGGCTCCTCTGTGAGGTATAAATTCGTCATAATTAATCAGATTTTCTTTTCCTTTTCGATCCTTTATAAAAAATTAGGCGATTTTTCTTTGTTATGCATTCAGTCTACCTTGAAACCATCTATCTGAATGAATGGGGTCATCAGATGTATAAAGGTGTTTACTTTGTGTTGTTGGACGTTTTCTCTTTTCCCTCCCCACATGATCAAGACTGCTATATTGACGTTGTAATTTTGATTTACTTGCAATTACGAGCCTGTATCATTTAAATTTAAGTCTTGATTAGTGCAATTTAAGAATTTGAATGCTACCTATATAGTATTTTCTAAACTGTGCTCCTTGGTCGATTTGTTCCCCCAATTTTCTTCGGATGATAATAGCTTAATTTCTGTCAAGTTCTTGATTTATGTGCGATACTGGTAGCCATGGAAAATCCCTCTATTAACGAGCGTTCAAACTTCAAAATCTTGCCATGGAGAAATTAACTGTTGTTTCGTATTTCGGATAGATATTTGTTAGGACAAAATTTCCTGTTGAGTAGATTATAACATTTAGATTATAACATTTTGATAGAGATAGCAATTATGAGTCTTTATCGTATTTATGATTCTAGTAATATTCATGATGGATTATGATCCTAGCTATTTTTGAAATTAATTCCTGCTTAGTACTACAATTTAAGAACTCATTAGACACTACACGAATAGTTTTGTTAAACAGGACTTCCTGGTCATTTTATTTCTCCATTTCTTTGGATGATAATAGTTTTCTTTCAGATTCTTGATTTTATGTGACATAATTGGTTGTCATGGCGGTTCTCTGTGTTAACGAGGCTTCAAACTTTTTGCTTTGTAGTAATTAACGATAAAGAAATTTCCTTCATCTTCATATTTTGTTGCTTCATATTTTGGATACGGCGGGGATGAGATGTCGACGTCAGAGGGCAGAGGGAGCTGCAGCGGGGGTCAGCGATGGTTGATGGCAAAGACAGATGAGGAGAGAGGTGGGCTGCGACGGGCGGAGCTCAGGGAGGAGTGAACGACGTGCATGAGAGGCGTTTGTCGGTGCGGTCAAGCACGGTGACGACGGGCCGGCTGCCGCGCGGTGATACGGACGGGGGCCGTGCTTAGGGGGAAATAGAGCGAGACTGAGGGTAGTGGAGCTAGGCACGACGTAGCGACGACCCAGATGCCGCAGGGGTCCGCTGTCCATTGGGGGGAAGGACGGAGGAGGCTTGCGGTGCAGCGACAGAGTGAACGGCCTGGCGAATGTTTTTTCGGTCGGAAATGGTGCGAAGGCAACAGCATCTGAGACTGGCGGAGCTTGGACGCTGAGGCTTTATCGGTAGCTCAGGATTGAGAGCGTTAGTGAGGAGGCAGAGCTGGGAGCGCGTTGGTTTGTCGTGCACGGCTCCTGGGAACCACCCGCCTTATGGACAAGAGTGGCGCGTCGGGGACGTCCATGTTAGTTTGATCTCATAGGGCTGAGGGCTGAGCTTGGCGTTTGGTGCATGAAGAAGAGGAGAGAGATGGGGATGAGCTGATGAAGAGGAGGGAGAGTTTGATTGGAGAGAGAAAGAGAATAAGAGAGTGAGAGTCACGTGGGGGGTTTAAGGAGTTGGGGGAGACACGAGGTGGGGATTTGCGTGAATTAGGGAGGGTTTTAGGGGTGTGGGGTAGGGGAGAGATGAAGAGTGATTTACAGGTGAGAAAACGCAGGGAATTACCCCCTTTAAAAAAATAATTAAAATACCAAAAAAATTTATTCAAATAAATATTGAAAATTTATGGTCAAAATAATAATAACAATAACAATAATAAATAATTAACTATTAATTTAAAAAGTTTTACCAAAACAATTAAATTTATAATTAGCAAAACCATTTAAATATAATACCGTATTTTTAAATCGTAGAAAATTCTAGAGAAATTAGGGAAAATACAAATACTCTTTTAGAAAAATAATATTTAATGTTTAAATACCAGAAAATTATTTAAACCCGTATTAGAAATTTACGATCATTACAGATAGGCAGATAGGCAATTGGATATATTATTTCATGATGTGCTAGTAGATATATAGCAAATAGGCAGATAAACATGCTAGTGGATATATTTTTTCATTATGTGCTAGTGGATATATAGCAGATAGGCAAAAATAATACCTTTTTCATTTTTTGTGACATATTAGATGAACTCACGTGTGGGAAATGAATTATATTGTGTCTGCTTCCGAGAGAGTTCAACCCAACGAATCTCCACTAGCCTCGGCATAAGGAGGTGAAACAGGAGAAAAAAAAGATGGAAAAGATAACTGAACAACCTTCCCTTGTTACGTGAGTACCAGTATGATCTTGTTGAGGAATTTTCGCTGGATCTTTTTGATAAGATCAAAACATGCATCGCAGAGACAGCGTTTATTGTAATAGATACTGAGTGGTTTATGACAATAGAAATCAATAGATATCATGTAGAGTCATTGATACAACTCGAAATTAAGAGTGGGAGCAAGAACAATGAAGAATACAAAATCTTTTTGTTGGATTGTTTGAAATTGCCGTAATAACCAATATTTGACATTCTAAGGTTTATATACACAAACAACGAGACACTCAAGCTTGGGTTTTCATTTAGTAACGATATTTGACATTCTAAGGTTTATATACACAAACAACGAGACACTCAAGCTTGGGTTTTCATTTAGTAACGACTACGCTAATCTTGCTGAGTTCCTTAGGGACGTGTATGCAAACAACGAGACACTCAAGCTTGGGTTTTCATTTAGTAACGACTACGCTAATCTTGCTGAGTTCCTTAGGGACGTGTATGCACTGCACATGATAAATGTAAGTTTTCCAGTCTTGTTTACATAAAAACTGATAATTTGTTTTCAATTACATGATTGTTCTAATATTCGGGGCTTGTTTTCGCAAATTTTCCCTGTTATCTAACTGCAGACCATGTTCATGCAGTTTGTTCAGTCCAAAAATCAAATACAATTCAAGTTTGTAGTGGAATAACTCCTCAGATGCTACCTCTTGATGGTAATGCAAACTGCCAACTATTAGAAACTAAAAAAATCACAATATTACAACAAGAGCCTATGTGACTGGATATGAGGAAAATATTTCAGCAATAGCCTATTTCATTAAGCATTGCTTCCGTTTTTCCTATAAGGGTTGAACAGACGGGTCCTGGGATGCAAGACCTTTGAGTAGTTACCAAAAAATATATGCTGCAAATGTCGAAGCTATGCTTGATCTACTTCCTAAATTTGAGACTAACATTTGGCAATGTTTGTTAAGGGCATCTTACTTTTTCATTTAGAAAAAAAATATTTTTTTGGTTAAGGTTTAATCTAGTGTCGCTCATGATTATCTTTTTACAGATGGATGGAGGGCCCATGTGTACACATATCCGCCGTCGAAGGCTAAAAAAAAATACTTAAAAAAACATGCTAAAAAAGAACTATTTCGAAGTTGTAAACAACTAGGAAACAGAACTGTCTGTCCACCCACTGCAGTGCGTCCATCGGCTAATATAGGTGTCCCAAAATTTATTGTTGATGTAAGGCATCTATCCTTTCTTCTCTTTTATACTCCTCTCTGATAATCTGAGATAATTTTATGAACTATACCATTTAACTTCCCTCGTGATCATACAGAGCCGCAATAACGTCTTGGTTCACAAATACTCCCATCAATTGTAGACCGAATTTGTTCTCCACCATTTTGTTTGCACAAGTCATAATTAGCAAAACAATCCCTCAACGCTCTAGTGTCTTGATCAGTTACATAACTTCCTCGTCTTTTTTAGTCTTCGATGACGAATGTGTATACATGGGGCTTCCATCTACCTGTAAAGATAATCACGAGCGACACTAGATTAAATCTTAACAAAAAAAATATTTTTTCTAAATGAAAAGTAAAAGATCCTTAACAAACATTGCCAAATGTTGGTCTCAAATTTAGGAAGTAGATTAAGCATAGCTTCGACATTTGCAAAATATATTTTTCGGGAACTACATAAAGGTCTTTCACCCTAGGACCCCGTCTATTCAACCTGAATAGGAAATACAGAAGCAAAGCTTAATAAAATAGGATATTGCTGAAATATTTTCCTCATATCCAGTCACATAGGCTCTTGCTGTAATATTGTGTTTTTTAGTTTTTTAATAGTTGGTAGTTTGTATTACCTTCGAGAGGTAGCATCTGAGGAGTTATTCCACTACAAACTTGAATTGTATTTGATTTTTAGACCGAACAAACTACATGAACATGATCTGCAGGAAGATAAAAGGGAAAATTTACGAAAACAAGCCCCATATATTAGAACAATCTTGTAATTGCAAACAAATTAGCAGTTTTTATATAAACAAGACTGGAAAACTTACATTTATCATGTCCAGTGCATACACGTCCTTAAGGAACTCAGCAAGATTAGCATAGTCGTTACTAAATGAAAACCCAAGCTTGAGTGTCTCGTTGTTTGTGTATATGAACCTTAGAATGTCAAATATTGGTTGTTGCGGCAATTTCAAACCATCCAACAAAAAAATTTTGTATTCTTCATTGTTCTTGCTCCCACGTTTAATTTCGAGTTGTATCAATGACATTACAGGATATCAACTGCTTTTTATTGTCATAAACCACTCCGTATCTATTCCAATAAACGTTGTCTCTGCGATGCACGCTTTGATCTTATCAAAGAGGTCCGACGAAAATTCCTCAACAAGATCATACTGGTACTCACGTAACAAGGGAAGGTTATTGGGGTTTTCTTGTCCATCTTCTTTTCCTCCTGTTTCACCTTCCGTCGAGGCTAGTGGAGGTTCGGTGGGTTGAACTCTCTCGGAAGCAGAGATTATATATTTCCCGCACGTGAGAGTTCATCTAAGATGTCATAAAAAATAAAAAATGTAATATTTCATGATGAGCTAGTGGATATATAGCAGATAGGCAAGTCGATATATTATTTCATGATGTGCTAGTGGATATATAGCAGATAGGCAGATAGACACATGCTAGTGGATATATTATTTCATGATGTGCTAGTGGATATATAGCATATAAGCAAAAATATTATATTTTTCATTTTCTGTGACATATTAGATGAACTCTCACGTGCGGGAAATGAATTATATTCTCTGTTTTTGAGAGAGTTCAACACACCTAACCTCCACTACCCTCGACGGAAGGAGGTGAAACAGGAGAAAAAGAAGATGGACAAAGAAATCCCAACAACCATTCTTTTTTACGTGAGTACCAGTATGATCTTGTTGAGAAAAATTTTCGTAGGACGTTTTTGATAAGATCAAAGCGTGCATCGCAGAGGTATCATTTATTGTTATAGATACTGAGTGGTTTATGATAATAGAAAGCAGTAGATATCTTATAGTGTCATTGATACAACTCAAAATTAAAAGTGGGAGTAAGAACAATGAAGAATACAAGATCTTTTTATTGGATTGTTTGAAATTGTCGCAATAACCAATATTTGACATTCTAAGGTTCATATACACAAACAACGAGACACTCAAACTTGGGTTTTTATTTAATAACGACTACGCTAATCTTGTTGAGTTCCTTAAGGACGTGTGTGCATTGGACATGATAAATGTAAGTTTTCCAGTCTTGTTTACTTAAAAACTGGTAATTTGTTTGGAATTACATGTTTGTTCTAATATTCAAGGCTTGTTTTCGCAGATTTTCCTTTTTATCTAAGTGCAGACCATGTTCATGCAGTTTGTTCAGTCCAAAAATCAAATACAATTCAAGTTTGTAGTGGAACAACTCCTCTGATGCTACCTCTTGAAGGTAATGCAAACTGCCAACTATTAGAAACTAAAAAAATTGCAATATTACAGCAAGAGCCTATGTTACTTGATATGCGGAAAATATTTCAGCAATAGCCTATTTCATTAAGCTTTGTTTTTGTTTTTCCTATCCAGGTTGAATAGACGGGGTCCTGGGATGAAAGACTTTTGAGTAATTCCCAAAAAATATATGCTGCAAATGTCGAAGTTATACTTGACCTACTTCCTAAATTTGAGACCAACATTTTGTAATGTTTGTTAAGGTCTTCTTACTTTTTCATTTAGAAAAAATATATTTTTTGGTTAAGGTTTAATCTAGTGTCGCTCATGGTTATCTTTACAGATGGATAAAGGGCCCATGTGTACACATATTCACCGTCGAAGGCTAAAAAAATTACTTAAAAAAATATGCTAAAAAAGAACTATTTCGAAGTTGTAAACAACTAGGAAACAGAACTGCTTGTCCACCCACTGCAGTGCGTCCATCATCTAATATAGGTGTCCCAAAATTTATTGTTGATGTAAGGCATCCATCCTCTCCTCTTTTATATTCCTCTCTAATAATCTGAGATAATTTTATGAACTATACAATCTGACTTCCCTCGTGATCATACAGAGCCACAATAACGTCTATGTTCACAAATACATGAATTGTAGACCGAATTTGTTCTCCACCATTTTGTTTGCACAAGTCCATAATTCGCAAATTAATTCCTTAACGCTCTAGTGTCTTGATCAGTTACATGACTTTCATCGTCTTTTTTAGCCTTCAACGGCGGATATGTTTACACATGGGCCCTCTATCCATCTGTAAAGGTAATCATGAGTGACACTAGATTAAACCTTAACAAAAAAAATTTCTTTTCTAAAGGAAAAAGTAAGAGTCACTTAACAAACATTGCCAAATGTTGGTCTCAAATTTAGGAAGTAGATTAAGTATAGCTTTGACATTTGCAGCATATATTTTTTGGGAATTACTCAAAGGTCTTTCACCCCAGGACACCGTCTGTTCAACCTGGATAGGAAATAAGGCAGCAAAGCTTAATGAAATAGGCTATTGCTGAAATATTTTCCTCATATCCAGTCACATAGGCTCTTGTTGTAATATTGCGTTTTTTAGTTTCTAATAGTTGGCAGTTTGCATTACCTTCGAAAGGTAGCATCTGAGGAGTTGTTCCACTATAAACTTGAATTGTATTTGATTTTTGGACTGAACAAACTGAATGAACATGGTCTGCCTTTAGATAAAAGGGAAAATCTGCGAAAAAAGCCCCGAATATTAGAACAATCATGTAATTGCAAACAAATTATTAGTTTTTATGTAAACAAGACTGGAAAACTTACATTTATCATGTCCAGAACACACGTCCTTAAGGAACTCAGCAAGATTAGTGTAGTCGTTACTAAATAAAAACTCAAGCTTGAGTGTCTTGTTGTTTGTGTATATGAGCCTTAGAAAAATATTGGTTGTTACGGCAATTTAAAACAATCCAACAAAAAGATTTTGTATTCTTCATTGTTCTTGCTCCTATTTTTAATTTTATGTTGTATCAATGACAGATATCTACTGCTTTCTATTGTCATAAACGACTCAATATCTATTGCAATAAACTCTGTCTCTGCGATACACACTTTGATCTTATCAAAGAGGTCCAACGAAAATTTCTCAATAAGATCATACTAGTACTCACGTAACAAGGGAAGGTAGTTGGAGTTTTCTTGTCCATCTTCTTTTTCTCTTGTTTAACCTCCTTCCGTTGAGGCTAGTGGAGGTTCGGTGAGTTGAACTCTCTCGGAAGCAGAAGCAATATAATTCACTTTCCGCACGTGAGAGTTCATCTTAAGATGTCACAGAAAATAAAAAACGTAATATTTTATGATGTGCTAGTGGATATATAGTAGATAGGCATGTGCTAGTGGATATATTATTTCATGATGTGCTAGTGGATATATAGCAGATAGGTAATATAATTTATTTTCCGCACGTGAGAGTTCATCTAAGATGTCATAGAAAAAAAATGTAATATTTCATGATGTGCTAGTGGATATAGCAGATAGGTAAGTGGATATATTATTTCATGATGTTCTAGTGGATAAATAGCAGATAGGTAGATAAATATGTGCTAGTGGATATATTATTTCATGATGTGTTAGTGGATATATAGCAAATAGGCAAAAATATTGCCTTTTTCATTTTCTGTAACGTCTTAGATGAACTCTCACGTGCGGAAAATGAATTATAGTGCCTCTGCTTTCAAGAGAGTTTTAACTCACCGTTCCTCCACTAACCTCGATGGAAGGATGTGAAACAGGAAAAAAGAAGATGGACAAAAAAACCCCAACAACCATCCCTTGTTATGTGAGTACCAGTATAATCTTGTTGAGGAATTTATGTCGGACCTCTTTGATAAGATTAAAACGTGCATCGCAGAGGTAGCGTTTATTACAATAAATACTGAGTGATTTATGACAATAAAAAACAGTAGATATCCTGTAGTGTCATTGATACAACTCAAAAATAAAAGTTGGAGCAAGAACAATGAAGAATACAGAATTTTTTTGTTGGATTATTTGAAATTGCCGCAACAACCAATATTTGACATTCTAAGGTTCATATACACAAACAACGAGACACTTAAGCTTGAGTTTTTATTTAGTAACAATTACGCTAATCTTGCTGAGTTCCTTAAGGACGTGTGTACTCTGGACATAATAAATGTAAGTTTTCCAGTCTTGTTTACATAAAATCTGATAATTTGTTTGCAATTACATGATTGTTCTAAAATCCTGGTCTTGTTTTCGCAGATTTTGCCTTTTATCTAATTGCAGACCATGTTTATGCAGTTTGTTCAGCCCAAAAATCAAATACAATTCAAGTTTGTAGTGAAACAACTCCTCAAATGCTACCTCTTGAAGGTAATGCAAACTGCTAACTATTAGAAACTAAAAAAAAACGTAATATTACAATAAGAGCCTATGTGACTGGATTTGAGGAAAATATTTCAGCAATAGCCTATTTCATTAAGCTTTGCTTTCGTATTTCCTATCCAGGTTGAGCAGACGGGTCCTGGGTGAAAGACTTTTGAGTAGTTCCCCAAAAATATATGCTGCAAATGTCGAAGTTATGCTTGATTTACTTCCTAAATTTGAGACCAACATTTGGTAATGTTTGTTAAGGGCCTCTTTACTTTTTCATTTAGAAAAATTATTTTTTGGTTAAGTTTTAATCTAGTGTCGCTCATGGTTATCTTTACAGATGGATGGAGGGCCCATGTGTACACAAATCCGCCATCGAAGGCTAAAAAATTACTTAAAAAAACATGCTAAAAAAGAACTATTTCGAAGTTGTAAACAACTAGGAAACAGAACTGCCTACCACTGCAGCGCGTCTACCAGCCAATATAGGTGTCCCAAAATTTATTGTTGATGTAAGGCATCCATCCTTTCTTCTCTTTTATATTCATCTCTGATAATCTGAGATAATTTTATGACCTATACAATTTGACTTCCCTCATGATCATACAGAGCCACAATAACGTCTATCTTCACAAATACTCCATGAATTGTAGACCGAATTTGTTCTCCACCATAATATTTGCACAAGTCCATAATTATCAAAACAATCCCTTAACGCTCTAGTGTCTTGATCATTTACATGACTTCCTCGTTTTTTAGCCTTTGACGAGGGATATGTTTACACATGGGCTGATGGGCCATCCATCCATCTTTAAAGATAATCATGAGTGACACTAGATTAAACCTTAAAAAAAATATTTTTTCTTAATGAAAAAGTAAGTCCCTTAACAAACATTGCCAAATGTTGGTCTCAAATTTAGGAAGTAGATCAAACATAGCTTCGACATTTGCAACATATATTTTTAGGGAATTATTCAAAGGTCTTTCACCCCAGGACCCCGTCTGTTCAACCTGGATAGAAAATACGGTAGCAAAGCTTAATGAAATAGGCTATTGCTGAAATATTTCCTCATATCCAGTCACATAGGCTCTTGCTGTAATATATTGTTTTTTTAGTTTCTAATAGTTGTCAGTTTGCATTACCTTCGAGAGGTAGCATCTGAGAAGTTGTTCCACTACAAACTTGAATTGTATTTGATTTTTAGACTAAACAAACTGAATGAACATGGTCTGTAGTTAAATAAAATGTAAAATCTGCGAAAACAAGCCTCGGATATTAGAATAATCAAGTAATTGAAAACAAATTATCAGTTTTTATGTAAACAAGACTGGAAAACTTACATTTATCATGTCTAGAGCACACGTCCTTAAGAAACTTAGCAAGATTAGCGTAGTCGTTACTAAATGAAAACCTAAGCTTGAGTATCTCGTTGTTTGTGTATATGAACCTTAGAATGTTAAATATTAGTTGTTGTGGCAATTTTAAACAATCCAACAAAAAAATTTTGTATTCTTCATTGTTCTTGCTCCCATTTTTAATTTCGAGTTGTATCAATGACACTACATGATATCTATTGTTTTCTATTGTTATAAATCACTCAGTATCTATTGCAATAAACGTTGCCTCTGTGATAAACGCTTTGATCTTATCAAAGAGGTCCGAAGGAAATTCCTTAATAAGATCATACTGGTACTCACGTAACAAGGGAAGGTTTTTGGGGTTTTCTTGTCCATCTTCTTTTTCTCCTGTTTCACCTCCTTCCGTCGAGGCTAGTGGAGGTTAGGTAAGTTAAACTCTCTCGGAAGCAGAGGCATGTGGTAGTGGATATATTATTTCATGATGTAATAGTGGATATATAGCAGATAGATAGGTAATATAATTCATTTCCCGCATGTGAGAGTTTATTTAAGATGTTACGGAAAATGAAAAATGTAATATTTCATGATGTGCTAGTGGATATATAGCATATAGGTAGATAGGCAAGTGGATATATTATTTCATGATGTGCTAGTGGATATATAGCAGATAGGCATGTACTAGTGGATATATTATTTCATGATGTGCTAGTAGATATATAGCAGATAGGTAAAAATATTACCTTTTTCATTTTCTGTGACATATTAGATGAATTCTCACGTGCGGGTAATGGATTATATTGTCTCTGCTTCCGAGAGAGTTCAACCAACCGAACCTCTACTAGCTTCGACAGAAGGAGGTGAAACAGGAGAAAAAGAAGATGGACAAGAAAACCCTAACAACCTTCTCTTGTTATGTGAGTACCAGTATGATCTTGTTGAGGAATTTTCACCGGACCTCTTTGATAAGATCAAATCATGCATCGCAGAGGCAGCGTTTATTGCAATAGATACTGAGTGGTTTATGACAATAGAAAGCAGTAGATATCCTGTAGTGTCATTGATACCTATGAAGCACGGACACACATAACATGAAGCCGTGTCGTGTCCATGTCGGATGCACGTGTCGAACACGTATCCTATGTATTTTTTAGGATTTGCCTCGTGTCGGCGTGTCGGATCCGTGTCCGTGCTATATAGATTGATACAACTCGAAATTATAAGTGGGAGCAAGAACAATAAAGAATACAAATTCATTTTGTTGGATTGTTTGAAATTGTTGCAACAACCAATATTTGATATTCTAAGGTTTATATACACAAACAACGGGACCCTCAATCTTAAGTTTTCATTTAGTAACGACTACGCTAATCTTGCTAAGTTAAGGATGTGTGTGCAATGGACATGATAAATGTAAGTTTTCCAGACTTGTTTACATAAAGACTTGTAATTTGTTTGCAATTATATGATTGTTCTGATGTACGGGGCTTGTTTTCGTAGATTTTTCCTTTTATCTACCTGCAGACCATGTTCATGCAGTTTGTTCAGTGCAAAAATCAAATACAATTCAAGTTTGTAGTGGAACAACTCCTCAGATGCTATCTCTAGATGGTAATGCAAACTTTCAACTATTAGAAACTAATAAAAACGTAATATTACAGCAAGGGCCTATGTGACTGGATATAAGGAAAATATTTTAACAATAGCTTATTTCATTAAGCTTTGATTCCGTATTTCCTAACCAGGTTGAACAGACGGGGTCCTGAGGTGAAAGACTTTTGAGTAGTTCCCAAAAAATATATGCTGCAAATGTCGAAGCTATACTTGATCTACTTCCTAAATTAGAGACCAACATTTGGCAATGTTTGTTAAAGGCCTCTTACTTTTCCATTTATAAAAAAAATATTTTTTTGGTTAATGTTTAATCTGGTGTCGTTCATGATTATTTTTACAGATGGATTGAGGGCCCATGTGTACACATATCTGCCGTCGAAGGCTAAAAAAATTACTTAAAAATCATGCTATAAAAAAGAACTATTTCAAAGTTGTAAACAACTAGGAAACAGTACTGTTTGTCCACCCACTGTGGTGCGTCCATCAGCCAATATGGGTGTCCTGAAATTTATTGTTGATGTAAGGCATCCATCCTCTTTTCTCTTTTATATTCCTCTCAGATAATCTGAGATAATTTTATGAACTATACAATTTGTCTTCTCTCGTGATCATACAGAGCTACAATAACGTCTTGGTTCACAAATACTCCATCAATTGTGTACCGAATTTGTTCCAACCATTTTGTTTGCAAAAGTCCATAATTAGCAAAACAATCCCTCAACACTCTAGTGTCTTGATCAGTTACATGAATTCCTCGTCTTTTTTAACCTTCGACGACGGATATGTTTACACATGGGCCCTCCATCAATCTGTAGAGATAATCAAGAGCGGCACTAGATTAAACCTTAACAAAAAATATTTTTTCTAAATGAAAAAGTAAGAGGCCCTTAGCAAACATTGCCAAATGTTGGTCTCAAATTAAGGAAGTAGATCAAGCATAGCTGCGACATTTGTAGTATATATTTTTGGGAACTACTCAAAGGTCTTTCACCCCAGGACCCCGTCTGTTCAACCTAGATAGGAAATACGGCAACAAAGCTTAATGAAATAGGCTATTGCTGAAATATTTTACTCATATCCAGTCACATAGGCTTTTGTTGTAATATTGTGTTTTTTTAGTTTCTAATAGTTGGCAGTTTGCATTACCTTCGAGAGGTAACATCTGAGGAGTTGTTGCACTACAAACTTAAATTGTATTTGATTTTTGGACTGAACAAACTGCATGAACATGATCTGTAGGTAGATAAAAGGGAAAATCTACAAAAACAATCCCCGGATATTAGAACAATCGTGTAATTGCAAACAAATTACTAGTTTTTATGTAAACAAGACTGAAAAACTTACTATCATGTCCAGTGCACACACACGTCCTTAATGAACTTAGTAAGATTAGCGTAGTCGTTACTAAATGAAAACTCAAGCTTGAGTGTCTCGTTGTTTGTGTATATGAACCTTAGAATGTCAAATATTGGTTGTTGCGGTAATTTCAAACAATCCAACAAAAAGATTTTGTAATCTTCATTATTCTTCCTCCCACTTTTAATTTTGAGTTATATCAATGACACTATAAGATATCTACTGTTTTCTATTGTCATAAACCACTCTGTATCTATAACAATAAATAATACCTTTGTGATGCACGCTATGATCTTATCTTAGAGGTCTGACGAAAATTTTTCAACAAGATCATACTGGTACTCACGTAATAAGGGAATGTTGTTGGGGTTTTCTTGTCCATCTTCTTTCTCGTGTTTCACATCCTTTCGTCGAGGCTAGTGGAGATTCGGTGAGTTGAACTCTCTCGGAAGTAAATGTAATATAATTCATTTCCCACACGTGAGAGTTCATCCAAGACGTTGTTGTGGCTTTGTATGATCACGAGGGAAGTCAAATTGTATAGTTCATAAAATTATCTCAGATTATCAGAGAGGAATATAAAAGAGGAGATGGATGCCTTCAACAATAAATTTCAGGACACCAATATTGGCTGATTGATGCGCTGCAGTGGGTGGACAGGCAGTTCTGTTTCCTAGTTGTTTACAACTTCGAAATAGTTCTTTTTAGCATGTTTTTTAAGTAATTTTTTTTAGCCTTCGACGGCGGATATGTGTACACATGGGCCCTCCATCCATCTGTAACGATAACCATGAGAGACACTAGATTAAACCTTAACCAAAAAATATTATTTCTAAATGAAAAAATAAGAGGCCCTTAACAAACATTGTCAAATGTTGGTCTCAAATTTAGGAAGTAAATCGAGTATAGTTTCGACATTTGCAGCATATATTTTTTGGGAACTACTCAAAGGTCTTTCACTTCAGTACCACGTCTGTTCAACCTGGATAGGAAATACGTAAGCAAATCTTAATGAAATAGGTTATTGCTAAAATATTTTCTCATATCCAATCACATAGGCTCTTGTTGTAATATTACGTTTTTTAAGTTTCTAATAGTTGGCAGTTTGTATTACCTTTGAGGGGTAGCATCTGAGGAGTTCCATTGCAAATTTGAATTGTATTTGATTGTTGGACTGAACAAACTGTATGAGCATGGTCTGCAGGTCAATAAAAAGGAAAATCTGCGAAAACAAGCCTCGGATATTTGAACGATCATGTAATTACAAACAAATTATCAGTTTTTATGTAAACAAAACTGGAAAACTTACATTTATCATGTCCAGTAAACCCACGTTCTAAAGGAACTCACCAAGTTTGGGTTTTCATTTAGCAACGACTACGCTAATCTTGCTAAGTTCCTTAAGGACGTGGGTGCACTGGACATGATAAATGTAAGTTTTCTAGTTTTGTTTATATAAAAACTGGTAATTTGTTTGCAATTACATGATTGTTCTAATATCCGGGGTTTGTTTTCGCAGATTTTCCTTTCATATATCTCAACATCTTTAATCTAGAAAAATAGCCGAGTGATCCATCGGATCAACCCTTAGAAGTGAACTTAATTCGGGAAATACCTACCAAATAGGTAGCAGAAGAGCATGAGCTTGATTGAGTTTTGAGAGAAGATCTTTGATGAAGAAATCAAGTTAAGAGAGTTAGAATCAAAATAAGTCTTTAAGAAGAAAAGTACTGGGTTAGACACAAGTTTTATTGATCACAACTTCGAAGAACTATTTGCTTATGAAATTTAGGATCCAAGTAGATATGAAACAATTGGCCTATGATGCTTCAACCATGAACTTTGGGTCTGAGAAAATTCTTAAAGAAGAGCTGATTTTATTAGGACAAACTTTCATTCATGTGGAACCTAAGTTCAAATCTGAGACTAGATTTCTAATTGATAGGCATTGAAAAATCAAGATGCATGACCCTCTATTAACGTTCCATGAAATGCTACAAAAATTATTAAAAATCAGAATCTAAGCACATCATTGAGTTTTTCTTGTAAGACTTCTTTAAAATTCAAGATCGAATTTTTAGCAATAAGGCAAGAACTGATATAGAATGTGAGCTTTTCATTTTCAATCCTTTATTCTACATTTTTACTCTGTGTCTCATAATAATAAAAATAAAAAAGAATTTGATATTCTCTTGTTTGGAGAGTTTGTTTCATTAAAAAATAAAAAATAAAATAAAAAAGAGAGACCAAATTTTTATGGCTACATCCTTCTCTCATACCCATTAGAAATCAAGGTAATTCCAAAATTTGTCATTTTATCATCATTCAAGATTGAACAAATGTAAGTGTTTCATTTTCTATCTACTTTACTTTTTGTATCATATAGTTTGCATTAAGGATAATGTAAAATTTAGGTATTGGGTGAAGATTTGTTATATTTTCTCTTTATTTTATCCTTTCATTTATCATTTCTTTTCTTTCCCTAAAAAATAAAAAAATATGCCACTTGCAAACTTGATAAAGTTTGCATTTATCATTTCTTTTCTAAAAAAATAAAAAAATATGCCACTTGCAAACTTGATAAAGTTAATTAATAATGATTTACTTGATGAATTTTTAAACTTTCTAATTCGTAGTTAGTTTTATATTCAAGTTACTATTTTATGATAACTCTAAATAAATTTTTAAGAAATGATTTTTAAAATTTGGATGATTTTACCAACCCAGATTGTAGGTTGGAGAATATGGATCATTCGTAGGGTGCTGGAATAGGGTGCTGGAATGTAGTGTTCACTTGACCTAATGCTTGACTGTTTTCTAAGAGAGGACATTCCTCTAAAACATAGATTCGGGATAGGTGGTTATGACCTCTCGAGGGCAGAAACTTGATTAATTTGAGCCGAGGCTTGTTCTTTAGTTTCAAGGACTTCCTGTAAATGGTTCGTTAACCCTTTCGTTAATCATAGTCCAGTTTCAAATTGATAGAGGTGGAAGTGTACCTATTAGTATTTTGTAGTGTCGATAAAGCACTAGTAGACATGTCGCATGCTTGGCGACACACTTCTGGATCACGAGGTATGACAGTTAAAATTCAAGGATCAGAACCAATAAAAAGAACACATGAATCCTATGTCCAAATTCATAAAATGATGAAATTTTTTATGGGTTTCACAATGGTGAAACTTTTCTGTGAGGTATAAATTCAGCATAATTAATCAGATTTCCTTTTCCTTTTCGATCCTATATAAAAAATTTGGCGATTTTTCTTTTTTTTTATGCATTCTGTCTACCTTTAAACCATCTATCTGAATCGGGTCATCAGATGTATAAAAGTGTTTACTTTGTGTTGTTCAACTTTTACTCTTTTTTTTTTTTGCTTTGCGACAATTAAGAACCGATACTTTTCGAGTAGTATCTCGATAAATGAAAATATCTGTTGGAACTTCTGCCACAATAGATGCGCAGTGAGGTACTAGATGCACATTAACTCCAATATTTAGCTAGTCCAACTAAAGTTTGAAATTACCCAGACACATAACCTCTTGACTCAAAGATGCCATGATTTGACTTCAATTGGTTTTTCTTTTTTCTAGCCTCATTTCATTACTACTACTACTACTACTACTACTACTTTGGTTTTATATCAGATTTGTTCCCTATAGAATTGATGCCGAAAATCTTGTAAACATAACGAGTTTATATATGACTCCTAGTTGCTGTATCTAGTTTGTAAAACTTCCTGTGTTTTATATTCCTATTTCAGCCATATCAGATTATCCATCATCTTCATCGACAGTTGCATTGGTAATTGGTGCTCAAAAAGTACAATGGTTTGGCACCAATTCCTTGTACTTTGTCTAGTCATAAGACTTAGGACACATGTATAGCTGCAAACCGCTAGAGTTAATTATTATTTATCACTTGTTGATTTACTGTTCAATTCCTTGAATGGACATGTAGGATGCAAGGATTACAAAATGATGAGAATTGGACAGTCGACTTTTCATCTTCATTTTTCTTAGCTGAGCATGTGTTATACTTCTCGATGTTTCAGCCCAATTTTAGAACTTACTGGGTTTGCTTCGATTTGACAAATTTTGATATGAACTTACCAAACTGACCGCTATTTCTTGGTTCTTTTGAGACCCACTCTTCATTTCTTTCTAACTTGCCTTCTACCTTTTCCTCAGTGTATTTTTTTTCTACAATTTTAATTTATATGCAATTTTCTTGCATTGATCCCTTATTCCACGTGTTTTCTTTTTCGTTCTCTTGGTTTGCTTCTTTCTTTTGTGTCAACATAGCTTATGTTTTTAACTTAATGGTCCAAGTCCAAAGCGCATAGATGGAATTGAGCAGAAGTGAACTAATTTTGTTCGGCTTTGAAGCTATATCGCCTTTGTTTGGTTTGGCAAAATTTTGTCAGAACTAATGAAACCGACCGTTTGCATAATGTTAGCCGTTGTAATTTGCATGCTGGATTGGTGCCAGAATTGGGTGCCAAATATTGACTTGTCGTGGAGTGTGTTGGATTATGAAAAACAAATTTTAGGGTCTCCAGAATTGGGTGCCAAATATTGACTTGTCGTGGAGTGTGTTGGATTATGAAAAACAAATTTTAGGGTCTCAATTGGATGAGATTGGAAGAGTATTTGTCGTGGAGTGTGTTGGATTATGAAAAACAAATTTTAGGGTCTCAATTGGATGAGATTGGAAGAGTACTGAAGGCAGGGTACTATTATAGATGATTTTGGAAGAGCGATTTGCGTTACTATCTGTGTGTGATTTCTATCTAGTTTCTGCTGACATTTTTCTCTGAACTTCTTTCTATGGTGAATTTTCAGCAAAGAGAGTCTGATAGCTCAGACTGAAAAGGACATGTTCAAGGCCTTGAAGGAGATTAAGTCAGCATTAATCCATCAAGTTTTTATGGAATTTGATGTACGTGATGTCATAAAAACCGTCGCTGAAGGTATTGAAAAAAAATAAAATTCCTCATACTGAAGTAGTGCCCATCCTATGGGATGCACTAATGGATACAATTATCTAAAGAGACGTCAGTGTGCGTCCGGAATTACTTGAGTGTTATGTATCTAACAAGGTATTTTCTCTTCATATGTACTCTCTGTTTCTTTGTAAACCTAAATAGATTGTTGATTCTTGTAAAATAAAATTTATGTTTGTAATATAGTGTACCGATGCTCTTGATAGCTGTGCATAAATAAAGTGAAAAATATCCTTTGGAACGCTAGCATTTTCACCTACAGCTTTTCCATTTTTCTTCGTTAGTTCTACCTTCTGCATGCGCTGTAAACTCAAGAAACTGAGGTCCCTCAAAATATACCTAGACTGGAAGAAGACAGTAAATATCACAAGTCCGCTTGCATTTTGTTTGACGTCCCTCTATCTTATTGTGGTCTAGAGAGGGCGTCAATGCTCCAAAGCTCCAAAATTTTCAGCCTGTGCTGGTAGGCTTCTTTTGGCAGATGGGACTCTGGTTGTGAACTGTGCATTGTTTGGCAAATTGTTTGGTTTTTTTGTTTATATAATACTGAACACCGATGTTTCGGAGTTTTTCATTTCCAGATATTTCACTCATATCTCAATCTATTTAGAATTTTCTATTTACAAAATTTGGGCAAATCATTTTTCCCTCCACTTTTTACGTTTTGGTTTTCTGCTTATAGGGATGCCTAAGACTATATCAATACTTTTTGGGCCTGAAGTCATATTTGAGTTTTCTTATGTGTTGTCTACCTAAACAACCCCCTCCGCACCCTCCAAAAAATAAATAAATAGAATAAAATTTTGTTTTCTTAGGTTGTAGACATTGTTTTTCTTTTGCCTATTAAGTTGCAATGCTTGTTCATGGCTGGATGGAATTAATTGAATAAGAGCATTATTTAATAACCACTATCAGGTTTTGCATTTGTCTGTTCCTTCAGCATTACTTTGTGAATCTTTATTTTCTCACCCACAGGTGTTTTTGTGGTCCGAACTTTTGCGTGCATTTTGCATAACTGAAGAGTGTGAACTTGAGCTGCTTAAGCAAGTCCATAGACGATCCATCAAGGAGCAACGACTGCAAGGGCTGTTCAAGGAAGTTGTTGATGTCCTATATGAATTCGATGTGCTTTCCCCCAGTACTATTCATCAATGGTTCTATCTCCACATAAGCGCTGTTGACAGGTGTGCAGTTATACCTTGGTCTCTTTAATTAGTTTTACCAAATTCCTCTTTATTATTATTATTATTATGGGGTACATCATTTATGTGTTTGTTTGGCATTCTGAAACAAAGAGCAATAAAATATATATTGTCCAAAGAGCAATAAAATATATATTGTAACATTTTCACTCGTTTTAAACACCAGACATTCTAACTTACAAAATTAGAGGTTTTAATGTTAAGCGTGCTGAGAAAACAGGGGAAACTAAACTCATTTTTTAATGAGTAGAAGTTGTATTGTTTGGAGACAGGTGGTCTCCTGAGTGTTTCTGAGCATCCAATATAAGATCCTTTCAAAAATTAGACTTTGTGAATGTGTGTGAAAGTATGCTCATAGCTATGCACTTAACAGAATAATCAATTAAACATGGGATAAGACCTTCAAATAAATGGCCTCATGCATTTATCTGATACAACGCAGAATTGGCACTTGAAGTAGGGCACCAAGATTGTAAAGGAAATAGTGATATTACCATAGTTTTCTTACTTATCAGTCAAAGTATTCGGGAAGTGTCCCTCTTTTTGGGAGGCCTAAACGTTGATGGCTCTTTTTCTGCTATTCAACTACTGAATGCTTCAGTCAGCGCCCCACTAGACTTTTTTCATCCTTTGGGTAATATTTATGCGCCAGAATCCGCATAAACATGTGAACTCAGTTTTCAATATAATCGTGGCTTGCTTCAAATATCTTGAATTGCCCTAAACGAGTTCTTCGGCATACGACGGCCTGTACATCTACTCGCTGTTAAATTTTCTTAGTTTGCATTTTTGGAATTGCCGCTTATTGCTTATAACCGTTGCTACACTGGGTCGTAACTTTAGTTCTTTGATTATACGTTTCTGTCCAATCGCTAACATAGGCACAATACAATGTCTCACTCTCAGGGGTGCCCTTTTCATTCATTTGCTTTCTGTATTAATCTTATTCTTTTTGATGTTGCAGGGAAGAAGCTTTTGTGAAAGATCTAAAGCCGGTAGTCGATTCAATGGAGAAAGAAATGTTAGAAGCTGGATTGACAAGGGCATGATCAGAAAATGCTGAGTAAAGCGGAACGTATTGTGTATGTCAGAACTTATCTTATGCGTGTTGTGCCAGCTGTGTGGTTCATGTAACGAGTAGAATAACATTCTTCCCTTACTCTTTGAGAACCTCGAGTGAAGACGCAACCGGTACCCTTCGTTTCTCCTTAATTTTGTTTTATGTTTGGTTTCGTCAGGATGCTTTTCTGTGGGGTAGGACGTTCTTCTTCAGTTACCGGTGATGGTGTCGTGCAGCGTGAGAAAAGCTTAGAGAGTCGGAGATAAAATCAAGAGCAATCATCGCTATATATCCAAATTTATAAAATCAAGAGCAATCATGTTGCCATGTTTACATTGTTGAACGTGTAGCTGGTGACAATTGTGAGGGCTAAATAGTGTAGGTTTGGGCCCTTGCCTAATTAGTGAGTGCCTATGAATGATCAACATGATTGCAATCTTCAGGACTGCCAGCTTTCTTCCTAACGATATACATAAAATAATTTTCTTAATGATTAGACAAAAAACAAGTATCAAAAAAATATTTATCTATGCAGGAGAGAGAATCTCATGCTCGCGCGGTATGAAAAGCACCGAGAGCGATGAAGGAAGAGAGTGAACCGCATTGATTGTCAGATTATTGAAGCTAAGATTTTGGGAGTCGTTTATTATTAAAGAAGTTGTGAGGGTTCTTTTTATAAAATTTGATATCTGATTTTATTTAACGAGATTTAGCGTCATGTCATCATCACTATCGGGAAGGGCAGCGAGGGCTGATATGATTCTCTCTCTCTCTCTCTCTTTCATACGCTAGTTTTTTTTATCTATGCAAAGCCAATAATATAAAAAAATCACACTAATATAATATTATAATTAAAAGATCTGGAAAATTAGATAAGAGCAACATTGTTTTTGGGAAACAAATATGGAGGAAGAGCCATCCATGATATATCTTTATTTACGAAAATCTTTACTCATCACACACACACTTATATTTTGCTTATAAAAGTATGAGTTTGAGGAAAGTTTTTCCTAAACAATATTACTCTTAATCATTTTAATATTATCATGCTTCGAGTATGTTAGAAGTTTAAATTTAGTATTTTTCAAAGTTTATTTTTAGTATTTTTGTGTTACATTTTGATAATTATCCGGTTGAACCGTAAAGTCTAAAAAATACATATTTTCATTGATTTTGAATCTTGAACCCAAGCCCTATCTGGAGTTGTATTTAAGATAGGAGTTGTATTTAACAGAAGATGAGTTTATTTGAAATAGTATGAGCTATATGATATGATGGATTTTGATAAAACGGTCCAACTGTGGATAAAAATAAATATAATCTTAAAAATTACACATGTAAACTACGAGAATTAGGAGTTTAAATATCAGACATTTATCTTGATCAGTGTGGTAAGCTTTTACCTGAGTTGGTGGTGGGAGCAAGATGTGTGAACTTGTTGCCTACGGAATTGTGGATATGATACGTTGAGAAGAGATATAACATCGTCAAACAATTAAAACATGATTTCCCGAACCCTTAAATTTTGTATATTACGCACTATGTATTGAGAGACAATGTGAGACAATGTGTAAAATGTAACTTTAGGGGACTTGCAATCTCCATGCTTTTGTGCCAGATTTCTCGCCCGATGATTATTCATGCAATATAGAAAAGCTGAGATTAGACAACATAGTGTGTAATCACCTTAAAATGAGTTGTTTTGTAAATATTGGGTTTAAATTGTTAGATCTAAACCAAAACTTGAGATCTAAAACCATATAGCCATGATTAATTCAAAGAGATTAACAATAATCAAAAGAGCGGAAGCTTATACCTGAATCCATGGATGAACCTTGAGATGGGTTTTGGATCTTCTAACCTTAGGGTTTCTCTAAATCCGAATTTCTCTAGCTAGATGGGGGTGTAGAGAATTAGAGAATGTAACCCTAGGTTAGGGACCATAACCCCTTATTTATAGATGTTGTACTTTTGTAATTTAGCCCCTCAATAAATCACAATTACAACCTGGTATCTGCACATATAACCCCATGATTATATTAAATACCAAATTAACCTAACTTAATTGATCACTTTAGTGGGTTATCCTGAAAGATAGCAATACACATTTATTTAATCATATGTGTCCGCAAATAGATTTATTAGATTAAATCCAACAATCTCCCACTTGGGCACCATATGATTCCTTAAATTGTGTATAACCTTATGAGCTCAAAAATTGCTATCACTGAAAAGGTATTTCCGAACAATCTCGTCCATTGACTATATCAATATAGGATCAAAGCGGCCTTCGTCACATTTATCGTGACTCGACCCATCAATGGTCACATATACCAATACAATCAAACGACATAGATCAATCATGGATGTGCAGCATGAAAATTACATGCAATGTGATCAGTACATGTCTATTTTCAACTGGTCCTCCTTAGTGAGGTCAAAACCAAACATAATGTAACAGAGTGTCTTAACTGAAAACTTTATTCTGATCAGACAATACAAACAAACATAAAGCACCACAAATACAAACTCCCACTAAAACATAATATCCTCAAATAATACCACACCCATATGAGCAGTATGCTCATGAAAGACCTTGGGGGGCAATCCCTTAGTAAAAGGATCAGCTATCATGGAGTTTGTCCCAATGTGCTCTATGGATATCTGTCCACTCTGTACCCTTTCTTTCACAACCAGGAACTTAATGTCAATATGTTTTGACTTAGTTGAGCTCCTGTTGTTATTGGAATACATTACTGCAGATTTATTGTCACAATATAACCTTAGTGGTCTTTCAACATTTTCCAAAATGCGCAGTCCCGTGACAAAATTTCGCAGCCATATTCCCTGATTGGATGCCTCATAGCAAGCTACAAATTCTGCTGACATAGTGGAGGAAGCTACTAGTGTCTGTTTAACACTTTTTCATGATATAGCTCCTCCTGCTAACATATAAATGTAGCCTGATGTAGACTTCCTGCTATATTGGCATCCAGCAAAATCAGAATCCGAATACCCAATGACCTCTAATTTTTCTGATTTTCTGTATGTGAGCATGTAATCTTTTGTTTTCTGAAGATACCTCATAACCCTTTTGACTGCTATCCAATGATCCATACCAGGGTTGCTTAAGTATCTGCCTAACATCCCAACAATGGACGCGTACATCCCTGAGCATACATTAGACTTCCTACAGCCGAAGCATAAGGAATCTTCTGCATTTCCTGAATTTTAAGGTTACCTTTAGGGCATTGATTGAGACTAAACTTGTCTCCTTTAGCAACAGGGGTGTCACCTGGTCTGCAATCTTGCATGCCAAACCTTTTAAGTACCTTATCGATATAGCTCTTTTGTGATAATCCAAGAATACCCCGAGAGCGATCTCGATGTATCTGGATCCCTAATATAAAAGAGGCGTCCCCAAGATCTTTCATCTCAAAATTCTTTGATAGAAATCTCTTGGTTTCGTGCAACATGCCTATATCATTAGTGGCAAGCAAGATGTCATCCACATACAGAACCAGAAAAATATACTTACTCCCACTGAACTTGTGATATACACAGTCATCAACAATGTTCATCTCAAAACCGAACGAGATAACTATTTGTTGAAACTTATGATACCATTGACGAGGAGCTTGCTTGAGTCCATAAATGGATTTTCTTAATTTGCAAACCATATTCTTTGGATCTCCTGACACAAAGTTTTCTAGTTGCACCATATAAATCATCTCATCAATGTCTCCATTGAGAAATGCAGTCTTAACATCCATCTGATGTAACTCAAGATCATAATGAGCAACAAGTGCCATGATTATTCTGAAAGAGTCTTTCGATAAAACCGGAGAGAAAGTCTCTGTATAATCAATGCCTTCCTTTTGAGTATAGCCTTTAGCCACAAGACGCGCCTTATACCTCTCCACATTACCGTTTGCATCCCGCTTGGTTTTAAAAATCCATTTACAACCAATTGGTTTTGCACCTTCTGGTAATGGGACAAGTTCCCAAACCTTATTGTCTTGCATAGACTTGTACTCTTCATTCATGGCATCAATCCACTGTTGAGAGTTAGAACTTTTCATGGCCTGAGAGAAGTTGATTGGATCATCTTCTAACATTCCACTACTTTCCTCATGTTCTTGGAGAAATACAATATAATCATCCGGAATAGCATTTCTCCTTTCTCTCGTGGATCTCCTTAATGGCACTGGTTCTTGAGGTTGTTGAGTTTGTTCTTCTGGAACAGGAAGTTGTTCAACATTATCATCTTAAGGTTCCGGATTTACTTCTTGAGCAACAACAGGTATAGAAACCTGAATATTGTCAAAAGTAACTGTATGGATTGGATCTGAAGTCAATTCATCCTCAAAACTAATTTCTCTAACCTTATTTCTCCCCCCAAACTCAACATCCTCAAAGAATGTTGCTGTTCCCGTCTCAAAAATATTCCTTATAGTGGGATCATAAAACTTATAGCACCTAGAGCGTTCAGGGTACCCAATAAAGTAGCTGCTAACTGTTTTGGAGTCCAATTTCTTTTCATTCGGCCTATAAGGCCTTGCCTCAGCTGGACATCCCCAAATATGTAAATGCTTTAAACTGGGCTTTCGACCAGTCCAAAGCTCATAAGGTGTTTTAGCAACTGCTTTACTTGGTACTCTATTCAGAATGTAAGCTGCTGTCTTAAGTGCTTCTCCCCAGAGAGACTCTGGTAAAGAAGAATGAGCAATCATACTTCTTACCATATCCTTAAGAGTCCTGTTTCGTCTTTCAGCTACACCATTCATGCTAGGTGAACCCGGCATGGTGTACTGTGGGACGATACCGTATTCTTCTAGGTATCTAGCAAATGGTCCTGGACGTTGTTCACCTGAACCATCATATCTACCGTAGTACTCACCACCACGATCAGATCTGACGGTTTTAATTCTTCTGTTGAGTTGATTCTCAACTTCAGCTTTATAGGCTTTGAACATGTCCAGAGACTCAGATTTTTCATGAATAAGATATAAGTACCCATAACGTGAGTAATCGTCTATGAATGATATAAAATATTGTTGACCATTCCAGGATTCCGTAGGGAATGGCCCAC